TTCAAAGATGTCGTACAATGCAACTTTACCGACATACAAAAAATGAATACGTAATTTTAATTTTATTTTATTAAAGTATTCCATTTTTTGATAAATATATCACATTTATTATGCAAATATTCATTCGTAGATAATATGTTGATACACTTTAAAAAATGTAGCAAATATTTTTCTCCAGTTTTCATGATTTAATTGCTACTGATTTATCTATATTCCTGTGCATCGGTGCAGTAAAAATATGAACTCTACAGATAACCGTATGCAAATTGTTTTCAGAACGTCTCGACTGTCGATAAAGGAAAACATGTTTCTGTTAGAAGATAACTTACTTATGCAAAGACTAACGGCCACCGACTATTCCCATAAAGAAGATGAGGAACATAATCACAAAGATGATATGTCGAGCGTACTGATTGCAAAAGGGATCACAATGGTCATCTTATGCATAGTAAGCATCTGTATGGGCATTCTTCCAATGCAAATGGCGAAATACTTTAAATGGAACACTTCTGACGTTGGAAATCCTAGGTACAGACATAATTGATATAAAATGAGATAGTCAAAAACTAATTTTTATTTTTTAAAATTATTTACCAATCATTTTCTTCATTTATTATTCCAAATTATTTACCCATAATTCTAGTACGATGTAAATGTAAGTTGATCCTTGCCTAACTAATAACCTATCTAAATATGAATCACGTTGTATACGACAAAAGCAAACACCTTAAACAGCGAATTTGCAGACTTTATTATCAGAGTGATAATTATAGTATACATACAAAATTTCATGTGTTGCAATACTTACAAAATGTATCTCTAATGACATAATCTTACACATTAGTGTGAACGTCGAAGAAATATGTCGATAAATTAGTATCGCGTTAAAAGTTGACTTCGTTGCGGTAGGTCAACGAAACTAGTGAACTTACTTCTCGGATTCGGAGGTGGCGTTCTTTTCTGCACAACATTTCTTCATCTACTACCGGAAGTAAAGGAAGGGCTGGAACATCTTATGGCAGAAGACAAACTTCCGAAACTTAGTTTTTCTTTGGCTGAAACGCTTACTTGTACTGGGTAAATAAAATAAAATAAATTTATTTCTTCATTAATAAATCAGAAAATTTTTAATTCTGCAAAAAAGGTTATGTGAAATTTATCATCACATTTTTGTATAGTTTCTTCATCATGTATTTGGTTGAAGAATCAGTACATACGCATTTACGGAGGAAACAAGCACACAAGGAAAAGTGTTCGAAAAAAGACGTCAGCAGAAGTACCAATGAATTAGTTGAAAATGGACAAACATTGTCAAATTGCGTCAGTGGGCACTCACACTAGTAAGAAGGATAATATTTATCAACTATGTTTTATGAGTCTTATGTAAATTAAAAAAGATAAAACTTCATACATTATTGCAGCAACGGCCACGGTCATTCGCATCACTTACCGGTCATAATGGACGAAAAAGATGATTTTGTAATAAGTTCATTACGAGGATTATTAATAGTTCTAGGTTTATCCGTGCATGAATTATTTGAAGGACTCGCTATCGGGCTAGAAAGTTCAGCTTCCTATGTTTGGTATGTTCATTCTCTAATAAATACCCAAACAAAAGTTTTGTTAATAAACAAAACGAAATGACAAAAATCATTTTTATTCTTCTTTTCAACTTTGTCTGTAAAACTTATAGAATAGTGATTTTAATAGAAAAGCAATTTGAAAAAATATTATATAAGGTACAATTTTGAAATTAGTAAAACGACATAAATTCTTAGTCAACAAATCGAAATCAATTTCGAATGTAAGTTATTAATTTACAGTATCTTTCAAAATATAAAAGAGGGCAAACATTTTACTATATCTTATTTTCTTTGCTTACTAATTGCAGACTATTTTTTCAACTGATTATAGTCATTGAAACAGCTCATACGTAATATGTTTAATATTCATAGACACTGATAAAAATGTTAATTTCGTTTTCAGGTACATGTTTGCGGCAGTAGCAGCTCACAAATTTGTGATAGCATTTTGTATTGGCCTAGAACTTATTGCTTCCAATACCAAGAGGTATCTTTCGGTGATCTATGTCTGCACATTCGCAGTTGTTTCTCCTTTAGGCATAGGCATAGGAATGTTTCTGGTTGGCGGCGAAAGCGCTGCTGCTAGTGGCATACTTCCGGTATTATTACAGGTATAAATGATATGCTTTATGATCTTCTATAATAAATTCAATTAACTATGATACATAGAATATGAAATATACTGAATATGTATAGGGTTTGGCGTCTGGTACTTTATTGTACGTGGTATTTTTTGAAATCCTTCAAGAGCACAGGAGCGGCCTGAAACAGTACATATCGATTTTATTTGGATTTGCTGTGATGTTTGGATTACAAGTATTAAGTAAGTACAACATTTATTTACAAATAAAGCTTATAAATATCCCTAAAGTATATTCTTGTGCGCAAATAAAAATATTGTACCATCATGCCTAATGTAGATAGTCAAATATTAAATATAACGTTGGAATTATTATTTTTCTATTAGAATTATCTTGTAAATATGTACTTGTTTGTATAAATGCAACTAACAAATGTAATTAATACTTCAAACTTAATGAGCAATAGATTCAATGCGTAATAAAATATTACTAATCTTGCAATTAAGACTTCGTTTAACGATTGGAGCATTCTCTGTAAACATCGGCAACTTACGATTATAGAGAACCTAGTACAATAAATTAGAATAAATTACATGATTCTGACACAGCGGGACGTAAATATTGACAGAATCGAGTACGTAGCAACCTTTTCCTCATTTAACAGTTATCGATTGTCAGTGTGGTCAATAGTCAGTTATCGGCTGATAAAGCGCATAATTTGAATTTAATAGAGTAAAAAGTTGATGCGTTGAAGTCAATGTTCGACGTATCATTACTAAAAGCAGGAAAACATAAGCAAACTATTAATATGTAAAAGGAATTTCATGTTAAGACTAACCTTTTTGAATTGTGTTTAAATCATTATCTGAACGACTATTAATGAAGCTGCTAGTAGAAGTAATCATTATTACCGGTACAAAGATAAACTGCTCACTTTATGATTAAATCATTTAACGGCTAATCTATTACTAAATGCAATTAAATTTTTACCACCAATAGAGTTAATAATACAGATTGTAATAGTATCAACTGCATCAAGATAATGAATTGTATAATTGATTATATGATTTAATAATGACAGTACTTTAAATAGAATTTGCATTCGATCAAATATTACAAGAATATACTGGAGATTAGCTGGAAAAGTAAACGTAGTAAAACTATAGCTTATCTGCACCAATGACTTAATTCTGCATTGCCATTATCATAATGCCTTTCACCATGAAACCAACATCACTTATTTACGCACAAGCGTACCTAATTCATGGCCGACATGGATGTTTACGCTGTAAACTTGATCGAACTGGAACTGATTTAGCTTTATAATGTAAGGTTATTCCAAAACAATTCAAATTAAATAATTTAATAGAAAAACTATGATATTTACCTCTAATTCCTAATTTGACTCTTCATTTCAACATTTATAATTTATAATTGAGCAAAATTCATAGAAAAAATTACAACATTTTTGGTTCAACAACATCATTGTCCCTTGATGTTAACGAGGTTAATGATGTTAATAACATGATTATCCCTTATTCTACTTGTCTAAAATTATCGAGCACACCCATCCTCGTGACCGATCGATCCATCGATCAATGAAATCAACACTAACTCAGCCATCACCGACACTACAAGCACGCGATGCTTGCCAATCATTCATTCTCTACGACGATCGTCAGTATGTATCAGTGAGTCTCGCTCACTATCAGGTCACCAAACAGTCGCTGCTACGGGTTCATGCATCTGCGAGGAACATTTACATACATGTTGGCTGTGGCACGCAACCAAGCAGCGGTAACAGCAGCAACAACGTATACACACAGGGAAAGGAGAGAAACGAATATCAGCCTGGTAGGGAAGCGATGTATCCAATGGAAGGGGAAGAGAGCAGGAAACGGTGTGGCTACGTAAGACGCAAGGGGATTGAGTCGAGTGACCAACCAGCCCTGGAGTATCTGATTCACCGTCGTACCGCGTGGAACGAACATCCTTCGCTCTAGAAGAATTCATTTATATTGTTTTCTTGAATCCCTTTCACGATTTTCTGAGACAGAAATCCTCTTGCAAACTAATCAGAGTGCATATTCAATAGAATGTATCTAAAGGACAGAGTCAGCAACTAGGCGGTCATTTTGCAACTGGACGCCAGTACGTTCACACTTTCCAAGGGAAAGGTAAAGTGTTGCAACATGAAACAAGAAGTGTGGTTCTATTAGCAACTTGAATCCAGGACATTCCATTTTCTGCAAAAACTTTACATCATTAGGAGGCTGAAAGATTATGTTCTTCTTGAAAGAGAAATATAGAGGGTGTTAAGTCAATGTGGACCATAATTACCACTACTTCGGATTTTCATTAAAATTGTAAAAGTGAAATAGTTCATAAGTAGTTCTACCCTCTACTGAAACTGTGGAAAACCTAAAATAACAGAATGATTTAGTGATAAAAAATCCGTTTTATATTGTATTAATATTTTGCTAAAGGTAACCTGATGATTTTGTCGTTTAAACGTCATTTGCCAGTGGCTCGTGCGTGTGTTAAGTGAAAAAGTGATCGCATCGTTGGTGGATTGGCTGTCTGGACAAAGAAGAGAGAAGTGTGAAACTCTTGACAGATCAAACATCAAGAGGAAGTCGAAAAACGAGATGTTAATTGAAGATGATATAAAAAAGACGGACAAATGGTAATCATAAAAACTTAGGAAAAAGAAATTTTGGAAGATTAATTAATCATCGATATCAGCCATTAACTTTGAGGAATAAGAGAAATTGAAAAGAAAATCTTTAACTTCAAATTTACCTTTTAGAATAAAGTAGTAGAAAAAATAATAAAAATGGAGGAAGCAACAACATCTACAGTTTTATTAGTAGCAAAGATAGGAGCAATGATTGGTCTTGGCTTTGGTTCTTTGCTTTTGGGAATGTTACCGTTGATTGTCGGACGTTACAGGATGAATCATCGTCAAAAACGACATCGCGGAATTTTCAGTAATTCCAGTACCTGTACTTCCACATCAGTTTCAAATGCTTCCTCCTCCAGTGTAATCTCTGGATCTGCAACGAACTCACAAGTACGTTCTAAATTTCGATAATTAAATTTCAACGATAAAATCTTCAATGATTTGATTCTTAACTGATAGAATTATTTGCCTAAGAATTAATAGACTTTATCATTAGTGTTTCATTGAGGATCAAATAAAGCAAATAAACTTACGATAATTCATAATATCCTCTTTATATTAAATTTGTATATATTTTATAAAATCATAGCACATATCTTTTAGTTGTCCTATTATTATTACTCTATCAGTCGAGGATTAAGTAATTTTTGTCCAACACTTGTTATTTACAATATTGGCTCAATTAAGAAAAGATTCCAAACTTCATGAAAAATTAATCATCGCAAGCTAGGTTAACAATAACATTAAACACAACAAGGAATATCTTAGTTAACCAAGCTTTCTTTCAATGAATATAAAAAAAGAACAAAATCGTGTCAATAAAGGATATGAAACGATTGGCAAATTAGAGAGTGTAACATGTAATCTTCAGGGTCTGCAAACATCGTTGCTACTCTGCTTCGGCGGAGGAGTCCTCCTGTTCACCACATTCTTGCACCTAGCCCCAGAGGTCCGCATCAGCGTAGAGAGACATCAAGCAAATGGTCAACTGCCTACTCTGGGCACGCTAAGTCTGTCGGAGCTGTTATTCTGCGCCGGATTCTTTCTCGTCTACTTCGTTGAGGAGGCAGTGCACGCAGCGCTGACGGGAAAACCCGAGTCATCGGAGGCACTACTGTATAGAACAGTGTCTGTACGTAGGTGCAACAATCAGCCAGGTGCATCAACAACCACAACTATGGGTTCGAGTACCACTGTGTCCTCCACAACCAGATCCACCTGGAAAGAAACTAATGATGATTTAGAAGACAGCGAAAATGAACTAAACAAACGATCTAGACAACAAGATTTAGAAGATCTTCGCGATGGCAAACAACATCAAATGTTACCCGCCATATTTGTTCTGTCTTCTTCTACGAGATTATCCGCCACGGACTGCAATCCTCGGGACAACGCGAGACACCATTCTAACACAGAATTAAATCCTTATCCCAGGATGAAACACCACGAACATAATCATGTCACCATGACAAAAAACACCTCGATACAAGGATTGTTGACAGTTCTTGCTCTGTCTTTTCATGCAATTTTTGAAGGTCTAGCTGTTGGTTTAGAACCCTCTATTGGGTCTGTTGTTTACTTGGCTGCTGCTATAGCTACGCATAAACTGGTGATTTCATTCTGCGTTGGTATGGAACTTTATGTAGCTGGTGCCTCTACGAGGACCACTCTTGGATATTTAACAATATTCTCAATGGTAACACCGATTGGTATCGCTGTTGGATTGGCTCTTGGCCACTTCAAAAATGATAGTGAAAATTTAGGATCTACCCCTACGATACTACAAGGAATGGCAGCTGGAACATTGCTGTACGTGGTTTTCTTCGAGGTGCTGGCACGCGAGAGAGCTAACGAGAAAAGTGGTCTCTTACAGTTGACTGCCATAATTATCGGATTCATGCTGATGTTGGGTCTACAAATCGCTAGTGAGTGTTTTCCGGATAATACTCCGAGACCGAAGCGTGTCACACGCTGATGTTAATTATGGAAAGCAATTTCCGCGAATATATTTTTTTCCCCTCTGATTTCTAATTGTGGATGAGGTCTTAAAATCATCCATGTCCGGACTAACGGTGAAAGTATACCATAATTGATTATCCAGCAGTAATGTACACATTTCCTTTGTTACTTTCATCTCTGTTATGTTAATTTATTCTATCTCCAAACATATTCCAATGAAACATAAAGTATAATTTCCCTAGAAATAATAACATAAAATAATATGATATAAAAGTTTTTAAAGTGAGGATTTTTAGCTAAAAATTGGTGCATAATTATAAGTCACTATTATACTTTTAAAGAAAGTAATAATATTGATCTAAATAAGAAATATTTTGACATTTCGTAAGTTTTACCATATATATTCAGAAAAGTTCAACTCTATCATCAAATTGATTGCTTATAATGCCAACTGTTAACATTTGGTATTTTGACAGCATTTTATCTTCTTTTTCTTAACTCATCAACGTCGGTGCAAACCTATTACCGGTACGTCCTTGATGCAATCACCACCCACGTGTTCTTGTAACACGTGGAAACCATGTCTACCTATTGATTCAACGAAAAGTTAAATGGCACCGTCCAAAAAGTCACGGTCACGAAAATCGTAAGAAATCACATTGTACCTCATAACACAATATCGATTTTATATTCTTATCTTTTCTTTTTTTTTTAATTTTTGTTTTAATCATAATCAGTCTTCCATCAACAACAGTACAGATTAATTTTCTGTTATTATCATTCCATTTGTGTATGCACTAAGATTCTGTTCAATGACAAACACTTAGTTGCAGAGATGGACGTTATCGATGTGAATTAAGATAAACTAGAAATTCGAATTTAGTTGGTAAGTAGGAAACGTAACGATACATAATCACTGACTACCATCCGACCCAAGATTTACGCATAATGTAATGGTTGCGTGCACGTTCCTTTTGAAGAGATTCTTTTAACAGGATTGATTACACGAATTTACAGACGGAGTTCAATTTCCTTACTTGTTGTCTGACTTTATTTTTTCCGTTGCACGACGACACCCCAGGACATGGCAGTTCTCAATTGCAATTAGGTTAATGACTTTGATAACGGTGTCGAGTAAATGTAGCGAACTTCTGCTTCATGACAACGCTGCCCGTCGCGACAATTTCTCGTAATACACAGTCACAGATGAAACTCGGATGTACCTATTAACCTATTAATTCACAAAAGGTACGTGATATTACTGACTTGAGTAATAGCACACGTATTCGTATATGTGATCATATGTACGCGTGATATTTTCAAAAAATCCAAGAAGATCAATTTAAAGACAAATTGATGTTTAAAAGTTGCCTTTAAATTAGGTTATTTTTGATAGCAATCTTTATTTAAAAATAATGACGTTTCTCAACGTAATTGTAAGATAGTTTTTTACAAAAAATATACTATCTGTTATATTTTAATCAGTAAAGAAAAAGATTTTATTAGCTGAATGTGAATATGCTTTTAATAATTTTTAAATAAATTTTAAATAAATTTTAAATAAAAATTTTAAGAAAATATAGCTCATTTATAAATGAAAGCATCTAGAATAATTAAAAGTCACTGCTATATTTTATGCTAGTAAAATATTTTCTATCAATATAAGAGCTTCCCTATCTTACCTTTTCTTAAGTATGAACATTAAAATTATATCTTACACTATATAGCAAAAATTTTCACCTGTCATCATAAATATTTGCTGTTGCATAACTTACCGTGCACATATACTTTTCAACCATTTGAAACGCGTTTACTATCCATGTTAATAACAGTAGATGAGTTACTTAAGAGGTCTAAGCTCAAGACCTGCAAGGAATTCATTATGACAACAGTTTTTTGCAGAAATATCATACATTATGCAATTTGCTCTCACGACACATAGCAATAACAAAGGCGTACAATCAAAGTGAAATAACAAGTTACTTTCTTTAATTCAAGAAAGGACAAGCATACTTGCTAACCTATATATAATTCATTGTAAGTTATATTATTATTATATCAAGTAAGATAATTTTCTGCAAAGCAAATGACAGCTTCACCTTTGATATTATGATTACTCGCAATTACTTTATTTCAAAATGACTTGTTATTGAAAATGACATTAATATAATTATTTATGATTTCAAAGAATGAACACAAAGAACAATACGCTAAAAGAAACTGGTTATGCACGAGCTTTCTCCATCTATGGCAGTGACCCAAGACGATGTACAGACCGACCGACTTTCGACCGCTTTCTCAACAATTTATCGTGTTTCGATCTGTAATTCCTATTTGTAAAAAAAAATTCAATGAGGTTCCCTTCTCGTGACACTCAGGTAGTCAAATCATTGCTTAAATACCTCTACTGAGCAACTATATTTACAAATATTCATAGGTTTACAGAAATTCGATATTTTATATAAGAAATAATAACAATTATTTTTATTTTAACAGAAAATCGACATTCTCTTTATAATTATAGATTATTTTCAAATTATTGATTAAATCTTATCATCTGTTTATTAGTAAACTGTACCTAGTAAGTTTTATTGATAATTCAGATATGAAAATATTTTTTAGTCCTCTTTTAACTGTAGATAGTTACTACTATATTACAATTATCACATTTTTAAACCATATCTATTAAGAAAATCATAATATTTATGAAAAAATCAACTACTAGTAACAAAATTGTCTGAACAATGGTTTCTTTTATTTTACAGCCGCGCATTCTCACTCTCATTCCCATTCCCATTCGTATAATGGTCATACACACGTACACGGCCACGAGACTGCGCATCAGGAGAATGATCACGATCCTGAGCTGGACTCTCATGAACACATCTATTCCAATGAAATGAGCGAACGAATACTCACCGACAAAATCTATAGAGTGACGGAAAGCATCGCGGAGACAGTCAGCAACGTTTTATCTTCCACGATAAAAGCACAAACCGATGTTCCCTTCAGAAGTAGTAATAACGAAACATTACATACGAATCGAAGCTAAAAGTCATTTGCGCGGGGAGAAATCCCTTGACTAAGCCGTTAATATTTCATTCTTGGGACAAATGTCTCCTGATTGACACTTACTTTTGGGAATCTATCAACCGCGCTGCTTAGAATTTATCGATCATTTCAAAAAAATGCATAAAGAGTTAGAAAAATAAAAGGAAGATCTCGATGAAAGGACAGTATTATGAAACGTTGGTTTTAACCTAGGAAAGGAAAACAAACTCCTGTTCTACACGTATTATGCACATATCACGCTATTTGTACAAATATAAATAGTTAATGGTGATCTTTGTGAAATACAGTAGAAATGTATCTGAAACAACAAAAAGCATTATTGCCTTTGAATGCCCAAATGTGATATGATTAACGAATGTAACTATGTAATTGTGCTACTTACTATTTTTTAAATGTAATATAAATTACATAGAATATCTATATAAAGCATTGTTTTTTATATTGTAACTAGGAAACTATTTCCTAACATGTGCGACTATTTAAAAGCGTGCTCCTATAATGTGCATATTGCATGACATCATAATAAAAATAGCCTCACATCCAAAAATTATAATTTTAATCATATTTTAGTGATTTTAAAGATTTACAACATTCTATATATAATAACATATTTTGCAATACAATTATTTACCACATATATCACTAGAAATAATAATACGCTATTGTTATTATGATGACAATGGAAATTGCATAGAAAGAATTAGAAACTGTGTTGTATAAATATTTGTAATATTGTGTATCTTATTCACTTTTTTCATTTGTATGGTATCAGAGTAATATGACAGGTATACTACTATTTATGAACATATTTCAATACACATAAATGCTATCAGTATATATATAAACATATTATCTTTTTTACACCAAAGAATCAACTTTTAAATATAAATTATATTTTTCACAATATGTACACAAAGCAATAAATTTAAAAAAGAAAAGACACAAAACAAAGCATTATGTATCTTAAATAACTAATTGCACCTGTCAAAGTTTTCCAATACTTTCCAAACATTTGCACAATTTTTTAAAAATAATTTTGTCACCTTTGAAACTTTTAACAAATATACAGAATAATTAATAATACATAATTTCTTAATATACAATTAAGTTTGTGTCTAAAATCATAAAACATAAACTGCTAAAGATTCTGCATATTTTAATTATTGTTGATTTTCATTATTTATTATCATTACTCACATAACATTGAGTAAATATTACTATATGAACATATAATGTGATTGATATGTACATACATTTGCTTTTCAAATAATGCCTACACACACTGTCATACAATTCTGTTTTGTATACTGTAAAATTTGCTAATAAAATAAAAAAGACTTTGATAACAAAATAAAAAAATCATTGCTTTCTCTTTTAAATAAATGTATTGATAAATTGTGACAGTTTAAATGTTCAACAAATTTTATTACAGAAGTGATACAATTTTTTGTTGCAGTGCACTCGTGTATATTTTTGCAGCTCATACATTGGTTTAATAAAACTAATTCTGTGTAACCTGTTTTTCACCTGTTACATTTACATTGGTTCAAAATACTATACAACTTATTCAGTATTTGTAACATAAAATGCTTTGAAATCTTTCTTTTTTAGTACAATATTTATTAAAACGACTGAAATAGTTTACACATCTCTACCACTACTGCTAATCAATTACTTGGATGAAGATGCTATATGCCTCAAAAAAATGCACTGATATTACAAAGGCAGTTTAAATTATGATAAAATTTTCCTTTCATTCTTCTTATTTTTTACTTTTTTTTAATTTATAAATTGTAATTCCATACATACAGAAAATGTGAAATATATTTCACTATTCCAAAGAATTGCTTTTGCATCATTTGCACATTTTATAGAAAATACAGTAACAATATTTGAACTTCTACTTTATATGTCTTCCATGTAATTGTCAGATCTTGTAAATAATTAATAAAGCAAAATAAGAGCAGTTCGTAATTATTTTCAACACAATTTAGCTCTTAATCTTCTGCTATTTATAAAGAAAAACTTATAGAAAATGTAAAAATTTATGAACTTCTCAGAATTTCTTGTTTAATGATACATTTTCTTCCTTCTTGTTCTTATTTCAATATCATCCACTAGTTTATGATGTATTATAGCAAATTTCTTGTTTAGATGCATTTAGTACATATTGATCATGTCAATTATAACAATTTTTTAATCTACTTTTTTGGTATCTGTTCATCAACAAAATTTAAGTAACTGGAACCAACCTTAATAAATGCAAGCCCAGAACTAATACCAATTATTGTACATAATGTTGGATTTGGTGGTACAATAGATCGGAGTACTGCCCATACTAAGACTGATCCAAAGCTCAGCAATATAGAACCAGCAGTACTATAAGAATTGTAAAGAATTTATTAATACAATAAATTAAACAAAATTTCAAAATCTCATACCTATACATGATTTTCACACTTGTGGGGGCACTTTTCATGTGATCACGAGTGAATATATAGGTACCAGTTCCAAGAAGGGCACTCCCCAATAAGAAGTTTGTAATATCTTTCTTTGGAAAAGCCCTGGAAGTATATAAAAAAAATAATATATAATGCAAAATAACAATAAAAAAATTACTACCGCAATTGAAAGATAATTTATTCTTTATATATGTGCAAACTTGTAAATTACACGTTGTAAATAAGTTATAAGATTTATATCCAACATAATCATCCTCATTAAGAGAAAAAAAAATGAACATTCTGATCAAAATTTGTAAATAATTTTAAAAAATTTCATCGATAAATATTTGTTTCTAAAGATTACGTAACATTCCAAGAATGATGAAATTCTGGTACGTAAGAATAGAGGTTAACATTTAAAAGTAGAATAAGTTCATTGTTATTTTACCTGATGACAAGACTCGGATTCATCACATTAATGGACAATGCAGTGTATGAAGTGACACCGAAAGCGGGAGTATAAAATTTTAGAAGATTACATTTCGTAATCGGTTTTAAACCAAGTTTTTGCAAAATTGTGCCGGTATCCGTGCTTCCTGCAGTAGCCATTGTTAGACTTCAACAAACTGTTATCAATGAACTGCTGACCAAATAAATATGGACGTAACGTAATTTTATAAAACGAATGTTTACACGAATTCAACCAAATGAACAATATCAAGCAGACCAAATTTGATAGGACAAATATAGAAAAATGGATCCTAGCAATGTGTTCGTAAATACATTAATGGTGCGAATCTATGATATGATGTGTTCTAAAATTAAGTTATAAATAAAATCAATTGAATATTAAATACTTTTTGTACTTAAATTTTATTTATTTTAAATGTAATATTTTTTTAATTATATGGTAACATCTTTTTGTTCATATCTTTTATTATCAAATGAAGTTTATGACTTATTATTTAAAATCATATTACGTAAAATATTTTATAAATAATTGTCAATTTTATTTCATTAATTTGAGATATTAAACATGATTGACACATAAGCTTATGTACAGTCATTTTGTATAATTGTACAATTTTCTTTTAAGAATAAGAAAATAATGGTACTGTCCTTTAAATTGTATTTTATATTTTTACTAATTTGATTTATAGTTGTAAGAAGTGTACTGATCAACCTAAAATGACGTATCTTTTTCTCATAGTATTATTTCACAGTTATAAATAAAATGAATATACAATTTGTGTATATACAACTAAACCGTAAATGATAAACGAAAACGTACTCTAATAATTTACTATTTTTCTTGTCTAACTCCAGGAACTAGAGTTAATATTCAAGAATCTTTTATACTAACTATTAATCTTTTTATGGCAGATAATGCTATAATAAACAAGATTTAATACGCTATTTATTTAAGATCATTTTTAAAACTAGGTTAGGAGTTTATAGCTGCACCTAGCCTCGTGTGTGGCAAAGGGTTAAACGGAGTGGTATTACGAATTTCTTTCTCTACGCAATTACAATAAATATCGGCAGTGAGTTCATTCAAGGGAATTTCAGAGTCTGCTTTCGCAGCTTTTACAGCATCATCTACTACTTTTCTTATTTCGTTTTCTATCGCCTGAAAAAAATATAAATGTTTAACAATTTTACATTTTTAATATATAAAGTATATGTTCTATATATTACAAGATATATAAATTCACCTTTATTTCCTCTGGAGTGACAAGATTAGAGTTCAGTACTCGTTCCTTAAAACCAGTAATAGGATCTCTAGTCTGCCTTACTTCTTGGATTTCTTCTCTTGTACGGTAACTTGTACCGGGATCGGACATACTATGTCCACTATATCGATAAGTTACAGTTTCTAAAACAATCGGACCTTTACCAGACGTACAATAATCAATCGCAAATTTGGTAGCTTCTTTGACTGCTAGTACATCCATACCATCCACCTAATAAAATATTGAATCAATGTAATTTACAAAATAATCATAATATAGTAAAAATGGTATTTTTTATTTAAGAACAAACCCAAATTCCAGGAATGTAATCTCCTCTTGTGTAATAGTCTGTACTTGCAGAAGCACGATCAACGCTAGTACCCATACCATATCCATTGTTTTCACAAACAAAAATACAGGGAACATCCCACAATTTTGCCATATTATATACTTCAAATACTTGTCCTTGATTAGCTGCACCATCTCCATAGAGTGTAACGCACACACCCCCATTGTTCATATATTTATGAGCAAAGGCAATTCCTACTCCTAATGGTACCTATAAATTTGTTTTGTCTTACCCATAGTTGATTTAATAATTTAACAATTAGTACTCACTTGAGCCCCAACAATACCATTTCCACCATAAAAGTTTTTGGAATACATGTGCATAGAACCACCTTTACCCTTTGCATTTCCTCCTTTTCTACCAGTTAATTCAGCTAAAACACCAAATGGTTCTATTCCCATTAAATAGGTCCATCCATGAGCTCTGTAAGCTGTAATTACAGAATCTTGTGGCCGAAGAGCTGATCTTATTCCAACTGCACAAGCTTCCTAATAGAAGATTAAAAAGCTTTTACTAATAGAATCTTTTATTGAATAGATTGTAAAGAATATAACATGATTCTTACTTGACCAGAGTACAAATGACAAAAGCCTCTGACAATTTTTTCCTTATAGAGATTTCCAGCAGCTGTTTCCATACGGCGGATTGTATGTAGTTTTTTATACAGCTCTATTGCTTCATCTTTGGTAATAGTGACTTTAGTAGGGGGTCCACTATCCAATTTGTGTAATCGAAAGGGTTTCATTTCAAATGAAGCTTCTGTAGCATAATTATTCTTTTTGTTGAAGAAATATGATACCACCTACAAATACATAATATACATATATTTCTTATACATAATTTTATAAAATAATATACAACATCCATATTATAAGTTATTTTAATTTGTAAAAATAATCAAATAGAATAAAATAGCACAAAAGGAAATGTAACAAGTGTAGAAAATGTAAAGGAACATTTGCAAAGCCACATAAAATTCGAAAAATGCACAATTTTGGTGTCATTCTAAATCTACCTACATTGTGAATGAGTGTACTTACAGAGAAATTAAGGAAAAAAGTATGAAAAAGAAGCAGGAAAAATTAAGTATTACAATAAACAAGAAAATTGATTATCAATGATAATAAACACATGAATAGATCTATACGAGAATAATTACCTCGTTCCAACTGCCAAACTGGTAAGACACCAGGAGAAGATATAAAAAAAAGAAAAGAACGAATGTTCAATCGTAAGACTTAAGCAAAAATCGTACGATTAGAAATTATAACAAGACCCTGGCATGGAACGTGTTGGCAAATAGCTAGTTTAGAGGTCATTTATCGTTCGGTCATGTACTCACGTTTCGTTTCGATGTTTGGACACCTATGTTTCTGATGCAGTTAGGTATCATTTTTAAGTTATTTTTCAGTTAATCGTGCTTAAGATCAAATAATTTAACGAAGAATCGAAGTTAATACACAAATTGAATCTAACAAGAACGGAACATTCATATGGCGCGGACGGTATCGTAAGATCTGGTTCGTAAACGTCACAGGTTGATCCGTGTCCCCACCACAATCATCATTAAAAATGTTGGATGATATGACGTAATGAGTCGTTCAGAATGCAGATAAAATTGAATTAAAAATGATAGACGTGCGCAGACCACGTGTAAAAATAAAATATGTTAATAATAGAAAAATCTACTTAAACATTATATAATATCATTGAGTCATTAATTACATTTTATGAATACATATATGTTAAAGTTATTGAGTTACAACAATGATAAACAGATTAAATAATTTATTCTAAAAATAATGTTTCAATGTAGAAATTTATTTTTGTAGACATATAATTAACACGTTTGCTTATAGAAAGTGTATATAAACAGTAAGAGAAATGACTTTTCAAGGTAACCTTTACAGTTAAGAATAGTTGTGCGATCAGCTGATTCTTATCAGATGTTTCCTGAAACACGTGGATGTTAGATAATAATTTTACATTTGTTTCTACCATTTTTCAAAATAATAACTGAAATATAATATATCAACTTTTTGATACGCTTTAAACATTTTATGATATAAAGAAAGATGCATATCAAATATAATTTTATTAAACTTAGAATTATATATTCTTATCGTGAAATGTGAGTCATTATCGGTATGATGCTGCCATACTGTGGTCATTTATAAAACTTAGAAAGCCGCTATAAAACTTTCAAATTCAGCAAAAAGATACGAAGTGAAAAAACAACTTATAATTCATTAAAATAGTAAAAAAGGACCATATTTTTTTATATTCAAAATGTGAGAAAATTTTGATTTTTAATATTTTATAAAATTAATATAAATACATCATTACAAAATCATCTACTTCTACACTTATTACAAAAATTTGTTTACATAGAGTTAACAAAATCCTTACAAGATGTTTAAGAAGATAGAGAACTATTTTACAAAATTATTTTTTAAATACAGTGGTGCCTGTTTAAATATCCACGATCTATCACCTTAATGGAAAAGAATGCATAAAATATAATTTTTCATTTTTGTTTATTTATGTATGGCAGTGTGAGGCACAATCGTTCAATTTCTGAAATAAACCTCACTCCTTAAATATCCATACTCGATCCTGGTTAGTGGACATTTAAGCTGACACCACTGTATCTATAAAAATTTAAAAAATTTGTGTGTTACTTCTTTTTCTTTGTTAACGTAAAAGCATTATTTTATGCGGGATTTTGTACTACGGTAGCGTTCGCGATACATGATGGCGTGAATTGTACATAGCGTATAGTATTTTTTATATTGATATACGTCGAAGAAATGGTAATGACAATACCAAAAAACACAATTAAATAACCGAACCAATCATTCCATCTTCGACAATTATAACGTATCACTGATTTCGAAATCGGTTCTTTAGGAAACCCAGCTCTTTTATAAACGCTCAAAGGTTGACTAGCATCTACAAATACTGGTCCGCTATCGTGAATTCTTTTTGTCATTAAAAATTCCTCAGTGACTTGTCCAGAGTCTATAGGACTATTTTCATAATCCATAATTTCATCGAATTCATCTTCCAACTCGTCATAATAAACATACGAATATCGATGATATTCAGTTTTGGGTACACTTAAGACACCATAATAAATTGATCTGGAATGAATTCTTGGATCAGTAGACATGCCTTCACTACTTTGACGTCTCTCAGAACCTGAGTACACTTCAGGAGTTAAAGGTCGCATAGATCTTGCTTTCAGGGCAACTGCTTTTGAATATACCAAAGGTGGTAATACAAAGACTAATGGACCAGTTAAAGATCCCCCAATCAGTGCCATCACAATGTCAAATCTTGGTACAGATTCTCCTACAACTACACCAAGAAACACAATAGCTGATCTTATAGCACATCGTTTCCATCCAAATTCTGTGATAAGAATATGTATCATGTAAACCACATATCTTGAAATTATAATTCTTAAATTCCTATTATATTAATGATTTCTTACTTCTTTTGATGTTACATTGGTCCTCCAAATCTTGGAAAAGAGCTGAATGACCGAGAGCACTAGAAAGACATAATTGGAGAGCTGCAACAAGAACTGCAGCACTTACTGCAAAACTTCCTGGAACTATTTGCAGGACGTTAGCTGTTGTACTACCTCCATATTTCCAGACAACCAAAGTAGTAGTAATAACAAATAGTGAACCACTAACTATAGTGAATAATGTTGTTAATTATAATTCTGACAAATTATGACGCAATGCTTTAATTGTATTAATGATTTACCTAAGAAAGAAATTACAACTGCTTTGTTAATATCTTGAGGTCGACGCATATCCACTTGCACAGTCATTAATGTTGGATGTATGTCAAATTGAAATGCTAACATCCCATACCTGAAAGACGATTTCAGGATAAATATTTAGTGAAATGAAATTATTGATAAATAAGCTTACCCAGAAATAAACTTGTCCCAAGAGGGAGAAGTAGATATTGGAGTAACATTAAGTTCTCGATTATCAGTAATTATACACCACCATATTAATAATGCTGTCAGTACAACTGTTGTGCAGGAGAATAAAGCCAATATTCTGCAAATATTTATTAAATGTAAATAGATGATATTTGTGATTTATGAAATATAATATTAATGGGATTTTAATAAAAATTACTTCATATCACGAGGGCTGGCGAGCCATAAAATTGGGCATAAAAGAACACCTACGACTAAAAGCCAATAGCAAAAAGATAGGTCAAATCGTTGTCCCGAAATTTTCAGTCCAAAAATTTGTAAGTTCTGCGAAGCTAACATTTATAATTAAAAAATATATAAATCAATTATTTTTTACTTAAAACAGCATTCAAACTTACCAACCAATAAATTAGGTATACTACATCCAAAAACCGTAAAATCTAGAATTATAGTGACCAAGGTTCTTGCTCGAGGACCTAAAGTTAATTCGGTTACAGCCGCAAGAGGATTTCTGTAAAATTAATTCAGCCAAAAGTTTACTAACTATAATGTATACAAAATTAAAGTATAAAAATCGATCTTACCGATTTTTTCTCAAAATTTGCGGATCTAAAGTAGTTGCGATAATCCATGATTTACCGAGAAGAATAGCGGTATAAATTTGCAAAGCTAGTACAACAAGTACCAACGGAATCCCATACAATCCTAAAATAACGTAATACGCGTTTTTCTTTTTTATTAATAAAAATTCATAGCTAAACTGATAGCTAAAGAGGCGATCATAATAATCTACAACACGTTAGCAAGAACTGTTGGTTGTTTAAAATGGAGTGAATAACGAAAAAAAATTTACTGAAGATTTACAATCTTTTCCTCAATGATACCCTACTTATATTATGCAAGAAAGCAAAAAATATGACGAAAAGAAAAGAGATAAAGAATACTAAAGACACAGAGAAACTTACCACATTGCACAATTGAACGTGGTAGTGCAATAATCGGAAAAACGCCGAATATGTCGATAACACATAATGTAGCAAACAAAAGTGACAAATCCGAATTGATGTCTTTGAAAATAAGCGGTAGTCTCTCACGATTCATGACTGTGAATAATTTGTACTGTTTAACATCAGTGCATGTACACTGTAAACCAGTTTTGTGTCTGCGGTAGCGAGTACGATACCAAGTAACATGATACTCTATTGAACGAAAATGGCTTACGTAAACACAGTTATAGTAACGAAGGAAGACCCACAATGTGTTAGCGTTTCTACCTTTAAAACTACAAACAAATATGTGATATGAGAATATAATATGAACCGTTGCGATCCATGTTGTATATGAAATTCAATTATAAGTAATACATTTGACACGGTACATGAGTTTTATAATAGAAAATATATCTTTTGAACAGTGTCAATAAATTCTTCATTTGTGTACGAAATGAATTCATTGTTTAGTCTTGCTGAGCATATAATAATAGATATCTCCTTATTATTAATATCACAAGAGCACATTGACCTCTTTGTGAACTATTTCTGTATTACTATTTACTACCATTTCTATTATTATTTCATACTGATACGGTCAAAACTTGATTAAAGGTCCAGTTTGTTTAAGAAAAGATAAAAATATCTTTCGATTTATGATCGTATCAGTAACCACGCAAAGATTAAAAAATTCATACATAAATTTATATCTTAAGTATATATATGAATAGTTAAAAAGTCGAGGATTCAAAAACAGTAATTACATTTAAAATGATCGTATTTATACCATAGTCCATAGTAAATATTTAATAACATAAAAAAAGAACCGTACAGATACGTGTAATACTTCTTAATCATCTGTTTCATAGGCGGGCGATGCTGGAGAATACGTAGGACTTGTCGGTGAGTATCCCGGCACTGGTGGTGAGTACGTTGGACTTGTTGGTGAATAACTTGGGCTAGTCGGTGTATACGTTGGACTGGTGGGCGAATATTTGGTACTTGATGGCGAATATTGCGGACTTGTAGGTGAATACGTTGGACTAGTAGGAGAATAATTCGGACTACTAGGTGAATATCTTGTACTTCCTGACGCAGTGTGTTGCGGTGAACTGGGCGAGTACGATGGACTCGACGGTGAATATGTTGGACTTGTTGGAGAATATGTTGGACTTGCTGGCGTATATTGCGGCGAAGTTCCAGCAAACGATGGTGACGTAGGCGAATATGATGGGCTTGTTGGAGAATATTTTGGACTGCTCGGTGAGTAACTTGGACTAGCTGGCGAATATTGTGGGGAACTTGGCGAATAACTTGGACTCGTTGGAGAATAAGACGGTGAAGCAGGTGTGTAATTTGGCGAACTCGGTGAGTAGCTTGGACTGGTTGGCGAGTAGCTCGGACTCGTTGGTGAATAGCTTGGTGACGCTGGCGAGTACGATGGGCTTGTTGGTGAATAACTTGGTGACGTTGGTGAATAACTTGGACTCGTTGGAGAGTAACTTGGACTTGTCGGTGAGTAACTTGGACTTGTTGGTGAGTAACTTGGACTTGTTGGTGAATAGCTTGGACTAGTTGGTGAATAACTTGGACTTGTTGGTGAATAACTTGGCGATGTTGGCGAGTAACTCGGACTTGTTGGAGAATAACTTGGTGATGTTGGTGAGTAGCTTGGACTTGTTGGTGAGTAGCTCGGACTCGTTGGTGAGTAGTTTGGACTGGTAGGTGAGTAGGTGGGACTTGTTGGCGAGTAATTAGGACTCGATGGTGTTATACTTGGCGATGTTGGCAAATAAGCGGGAGATGTAGGTGAATAACTTGGTGAAGCGCCACCCGCTGGTGACATTGGATATGGACTCATACTGGGTCCTGGACTTCCTGGACTTCCAGGTTGTGGTGAGTATGCAGAGTAAGCGGGAGAAAGTCCTGATGCATCTGATGCTCCTGATGGTGAGAAGCATGCCCCTCCAGGTGTCATACCACTACCCAAAGCTATAAAAAAGAAAACAAATGTTTGTAATGAACAAGTAGTATTACAAAATTTCAATATTAGAACGACATAAAATCACAAAAAATATTCGTACCAGGTGACATACTTGAGGCGCCATAACCAGGTGTAGCACCCATCCAAGGTGTCATTTGAGGACTCATACTTGGTGTAGCAACACTACCAAAGAACATTCCAGCAGGTCCCATCATACCACCACCTATTGCCATTGGTATTTCAATGCCAGCTTTACATTTTTCAGCATCCAATAGCAGATCAAAACATCCTAAATTTGAAATAAAATTAAACTTATATACTGTTATCCTTGCAATTTCACACTTATTTCCTAAATTCATCAACAAAATATAACAATACCTGTTCCTATACGTGGAAGTTGTCCCATAATAATATTTTCAGATACTCCTCTCATTGGATCTACTTCTGCATGAGATGCTGCATCTAACAGAACGTCTACTGTTTCTTCGAAGGAACATCTGAAGTAAAATAAATTATGAAGATTATAGGCAATTACGATTTTCTCATCTTTTACTTACCTCATAAGAGCACCAGTGTCTTGTCTATTAATTCCATGACGTGTTATAGCCATCAAGTGTCCTTTGGCAGTCATTACATCACAAAGTAAAGCAAGATGACGATAATTTACGTAAAGACCGTAAAATTGCAAAACGGCGTTCATTTCTTTCTCTACCGACTTTCTTACGGCTTCTATACCTAATACTTGGAATATTTCACAAATATCATTACTAAATGTTCTAACTGGATCAACATCTCTTTCGCTCAAGACTTTCATCAAACTTGTACCGTCCGTTTCCAATAACCATTCGGCTATTGCTTTAAATTCACCAGTTTCTGTAATAACTATACGTTTTTTGGCATCAGTTTGAGGCAAATGCATATACACTTTTCCTATTGCTTCAATACCCTGCAAACAACAGTAATAAATTAAGTAACATTTTAATTATTTTATAATTATATTTGATTTCAATATAAAATTAATAGAAGACATACCTGTAATGTCATGTCACTGAGCATATTTGCTTCAATACATCGAAGGAACATATCATCCTCCATTTTATCTACAGTCTCTTCCTCGCTATCTTGGAATTTGTTATCATCACTGTTCATTATTCTAATTCGTAGAACTAACTTTTCAGCGTTATCATCGTTAAAGATACAGTTTAGATCATCACCAAAACCGGCATTAATTTTTTCCGCAATTTGTTCCATAGTTAATTTCTTATCGGTCATCCTCTTACGATCTAACTCAATTCGAAGTAACCATGGTGATATTTTATTAGGGTCGAAATCGGGCATTTCGTAATAAACGTTAACAAATTCTTGGTCCTCCGCAATTACGGTATTTTGTGGATCTGGGTCATAATAAATTGCAGTGTTTGCTGTAACTTTTCTCAATGTAGTATGTTCCAATCGACAAAGTACATTTTTTGCCTTTTCAGCATCCCTTGCTGCAGCTCCAGTCAAAAACACCGTCAACGATGGAGCCTTAGGTTTTTTACTGATATTTATAATTTCTTTTAATCTGGGTACACCAAGCGTTACGTTCTTTGATGATACACCAGCGAAATGGAAAGTATTCAATGTCATCTGAGTTGCAGGTTCACCAAGTGATTGAGCAGCTAAAGCGCCTACCATTTCTCCAGGCGATACCTACATAAAGGAAAATTATAAAATTGAATTAAAATTGATCTTAAAATCTTAAATTTTAGTTTAAATTTCAACTTTTATATCGGGAGTGCTATATAATTTGTATTTTAATGTATTTTTTACATTAATACATAATTTATTGTTCACAAACCTGTGCTTGCTGGAATCTAGTTTCAATTTCTCCAATGAGCCATTCAAAAGCTTCACTGGATAATCGAAATTCTTCAGAAACACATTTTGTACACAAAGTAGATCTTACTAAACATTGGAATAGTAATGTAGCATTTTCGTTAGCCTGTTTGCTAAGTCTATCATCTCCAGCCACAATGATACATTTATCCAAAAGATCTTTCACACCTACAAATAAAAACATTTTAACATTAATATAATTAACAGTAACTAACACTTGTGTTTGATATAAAATTATTGAATTATATACATACCCTGTATAACTCTCATAGGACTAAGATCGGTGGGTGCACGCTTATTTATATGGAAAATTTTTTGTACATTCCAAATCATTCTTTGTAGATTACAAGGTAATACAACTTTCGATTCTCCACTAGGAAATATTTCTCTAAGTACAGCACGATCCTTATTCAACTGTTCCCACTCTCTTTCCAATTCGGATATTACTTCACCCGATCCCATCATTTCTCTAACGATATCTTCGTTGAAAATGCGGCGAAGATATCGTTCATTAGTGGGATCAAACTTGAATTTCTTTTCAAATGCTTTGTTGCTTAATTTAATCGTAGGCAAATTCTGAAATTCGACGGTTTCACCACATAAACCGTCTTCCCCATAACGCAATTGAATGAGCTGTCCTACAGAGTTTCGAACTGTTCCATCATAATGTACCATAACAGACTCCATAGCCTTTATTAAACGACGTTGAATGTAACCAGTTTCTGCAGTTTTTACGGCAGTATCGATAAGACCCTCACGACCTCCCATAGCGTGAAAATAAAATTCAGATGGAGTCAAACCAGCAAGATACGAGTTCTCGACGAATCCTCTGGATTCAGGACCATAATCATCCTTAATAAAATGTGGCAATGTTCTTTTACGGAAACCAAACGGAATACGTTTACCTTCTACGTTTTGTTGTCCGACGCAAGCAATAACCTGAGAGATATTAATGTTAGAGCCTTTTGATCCTGATACTACCATAGCTTTGAGATTGTTGTACTCTGTTAATGATTTTTTAGCAGAACCACCAGTCTTATCACGAGCGTCGTTCAAAATTCTATTTACTTGATTTTCAAAAGTTTGTCTTAAAGTATTACCAGGTGTAGGTTCCAATTCCATATTGTGTGCTTTTTGAATGACTTCTATCACGTCTTCTTTGGCCTTTTTTATGGCTTTCTGAATTTCTAGATAAGTCTGTGGATCAGCAATGGTATCTCCAATACCAATTGAATGTCCTTCTAACAGCAACCAATTATTAATTACAGTTTGAATGTTCCCATAAAATCTTCCACAAACTTCATGTCCTAATTCCAACATACAAATATGAAGTAGAGATCCAGCAGATGTACCCAATGTCTTTTTACAAAGTATACCCATAACAAGTTCTCCATGTTCTACCATAACTTTAGTATCACCAGGAGAAATCC